CCACCCACCCACTCACTCACTCACACCCACCACTGACTCAGCGTGCACCACGTGACCCACTCTCACCCACCCCTGACTCACTCACCCACTCACTCACTCACACCCGCCACTGACTCACTCACCCACTCACTCACTCACACCCACCACTGACTCAGCGTGCACCACGTGACCCACTCACACCCACCACTGACTCACTCACTCACTCTCACCCACCACTGACTCACTCACCCACTCACTCACTCACACCCACCACTGACTCACTCACCCACCCACTCACTCACACCCACCACTGACTCAGCGTGCGTCACGTGACTCACTCACACCCACCACTGACTCACTCACCCACCCATTCACTCACTCACACCCACCACTGACTCAGCGTGCGTCACGTGACTCACTCACACCCACCACTGACTCACCCACTCACTCAAACCCACCACTGACTCAGCGTGCGCGGAGTCTCTGGCCGCTATCTCTGTCGCCACCACGGGGCTCTGGCCATGCCGCGACCACGAGGCGCTGTTCGCTCAATAGCCGTCACTCGCGTGACAGCTCGTTATGAGCTAATGCAAGTGCTTAGCCGCATGCGCGGGATGAAGCAGTCCTTATCTTCTCGACAGCGAGGAATTGTCCGAACCTGACAATCTGTATCCTAGGAGACGTACAAAAAAAATCTTTAGTATTATATTTTTTTTTTAGACACGGTATATTTTTTTCCCATTATTATTATTTTTTTAAACTCGTGAAAGCGGGGCGGCTGCAATTTTTTTGTAAGCAGCAGCAGCAGGAGGAGGAGAGAGGCGAGAAAAGAGAGAGAGAAAAAAATATTCACCGAACTGCCAAGATAAGGGGAGAACATCTAATCCTTTAAGGCCCGTATGGGTCAATTTTCCATTACAACTTTATTTATCTGCGAAAAGGATTGGGAGGCTGTGAGTGCGTCTGTGTGTCTCTGTGTGTGTGCGCGTTTAAGAAAGAGATGCATTATTATTTTGTCAGTTTTGTGGGGTTATTTATTTATATGTTTTCTTGTTTATTTTTTTTCTCTCTCCGTGCAGATTGTGGCTTGCGATAAAAAAAAAAAACTCTGTGCATTTGGGCCTGACTTGTCTGTGTCACGGCGCGCACAAAGACACAATATTGGACGTGTTGATTCCCCTGCTGCACGGGCTGTTAGTGTTGTTAGCGAGCACCTATTAAGGCTGGGAAAACGTCGCAGGCGGTGAGGTGGTGTGGCCAGCACCGACCAGCCTGATCGCTGACAAAAAATATGCTCATAGGCTCAGTGGGCTTTAGCTGGTAAGATAAACATTTGCTTAGTTTTACTTGTGAATATTTTTTGTATATTTTTTAAAATATTAATTTTTATTTTTTATTTTATTTTTTCACCTACGTGACTTTACCGAAAGAACCAAAGAGTATGAATCCTTGTATATATATTTTTTAAAATAGTGATTTGCTTACCATTGCTATACTTTGCGATCTTGTCGTGTTTTTTTGTATCGTTTGTTGTTGTGACTTCTTCACCCGCCTCCTACTTGGGACCTCTGTGATGAAGAGCTGCATAGCTCATCGGATTCCTCCTCCTGCAGTCGAAACAAATATCCTGATTCCGGTTCCGCCTTTGTCTTCCCAGGTCTGATATTGTGTCGACACCGCGCCAGGCACTGTACCCCATCTCGTGCCGAGGGGACCCACGTGTGCTCGGCACAGCACACATTCTGGCTCTTGCCACTGATGGTAGCCATGCCCGGGAATCGAACTTAGGTGGCCAGCTTCGTGCAAATAATGACATCAACAACTGCCGTTCGCCACTTCGTGGTGGGGACTCTTGTGCCAGGCTAGGTGCACCTTTTGTTTTTTGCGTACATGAGCAGAAACACAGCAAAATGTGCAGTTTAACACGTAGGAGGCTTTCGCGGCCAAGATCATCCATAACGGAGGTTTTTTTTGGGTTAGATCGCGTAAATCTACGTGTCGTTAAAACCCGCCACCACCCGACACAGCCAACCAAAAAAACCTCGATTTTGGGAAATGTGCAGTTCGTCGTTTTCCCGTCTCAATTCAAATGTTGAGCAGCGGTGTCAAACACAACTTGAGTCATCATTGCACGCTGCACGTCCCTCTGATGAGCACGGTGGGCTACGTAGGGTGCGAAGGAAGTTCTACACACACGCGTGTGCACGTGTATCACGTGACGGCACTCGGCGCACTCTGGTCACGTGGGACGAATTGAGCAATCATCGGGTGCGCGCGGCGTGTGCAACGACTTCACATTTGTGAGGAAGATATCGAGCATTTAAATGCACGCCTCGATAGTTCGCGAAGGCTGCAGATTCCCACGAGGCCTGAGTTTTTGTAATAAAATTATTTTAAAAAAATGTAAAGTCCAATTTCGGATATTTTTCGGACTTTTCCATTTTCCGTTTCAGATGCTTCCTTTGTAACAGTTCTGACACTCTGCCGAGGAGTTCACACTTGCGCCGCTATTAGCAACTTACCCGATTTACAACCGAACACATTGTACGTATGCTGAACTTCTTTCGCACCATACGTGGCCAACCGAACTCATCGGAGGTTGATTGAAGCGTTGCCCCAAACTTGAGAGACACAATCCGGAGCAAATGTCACGGATTCGAAAATCGCGTGTTGCTCCGACAACCGGCCATCGGCCTCTGTTACTGTGAATGTAATGGGTCAACAATGGAATGGGTCAACAATGGAATGGGTCAACAATGGAATGGGTCAACAATGGAATGGGTCAACAATGAAATGGGTCAACAATGTAATGGGTTAACAATGGAATGGGTCAACAATAAAATGGGTCCGAAGACCAACGCTGTAATGGGTCAACGATGTAATGGGTCAACAATAGAATGGGTCAACAATGTAATGGGTCAACAATGTAATGGGTCAACAATGGAATGGGTCAACAATGGAATGGGTCAACAATGGAATGGGTCAACAATAAAATGGGTCCGAAGACCAAAGCGCGTCACAACCAAGGCGTGCGCATGGAATTTTCTTGGCCCGTTTAGCAATCATCAGGTTCGTACAATTGTCCACGTGTGGGAGGAAACTGAAGTCTCGGAGCCTGGGAGAAGAGCCGCCCAGCGGGGCTTCGAGTGCAGCAAAATCGTGGCATGAGCAGGCGGTATAAATAACGTCGTCGTCGTCGTCGTCCTCGTCATTATTAACGGCATCTTCACACACACAGAGCAACCCTCAACACTGTAATTCTGAAGGGCTACTTGCTCCCATAACGCAGGGGCACTCAATTCCGCGTGGCAACTTTTTAAATCATTTCCACCTTAAACCACCGCGCAAATAATGGACTTCACATAAAAATGACAGATGCCATCTTAAAGATTTTTTCTCTCCCTTTTTCCCCATTTTCAATTTCTCTCTCTCTCTCTCCCCACCACCTTTCAAAAAACCGCTTCTTGCGGGGGGATATTGAAGAGAAGAAATCCCTTTTGTGACCGGGTCTTTCCGTGCGCGCCGGTGAATGCAACTTACTGTGGTTATTAATATGACACATAATCAGGTTTATATAGAGCAGGGGATTTCAACTTACCTTCTTTGCAAAAAGCCTTTTTCCCGAACACAGCCGCTTTTTCAAATAATTGTGGTTTAGGAGGCAGTGTCGGCTTGGGTTGAAACCCACTCAATTCCACAGTCCATAACGGGTAATTACGTGCGGTCTGCATAGCTGCACACAGTGTGTACACGAACACACACTCCCCCTCTAGTCGCCTTGCATTTTCAGAAAAAGGCTTTTGAATAGAAACTATTATTTTCCCGCAAATGTATCCCCAGTGTGGCATTGGCGTCACGTGCTCGTGAGATGAAGACTGTTGGGGTCTCTCGCAAAAGCAACGCGACCCTTCCTGTTTAGAGAAGGGTCCACGGAAGCGGATATCAGGGAGCTACATCTGAGATCCCTGCAAGTGACCTCTGGTTCAGGGGGAAGCACGTGCGGCTCCCGAGTGACGAGGTTTAAACTCCCTCGTCTGGGATGCAGGAGGACGTGGGTTCGATCCCGATCTCGACGCCTGTAGATATGGGATTTGCGGAGTCTCTTGCCCCGTGGTTGCGTGGATTTCTCGGGCCTTTGCCTCCACGGGTATTTGCTATAAATTTCCACGTGATAAGCCACTTCGTTGAGCTATTATTTGTGGCCAGGTTGCTTCGAAAAATTAACTAAATAGCTCAGTGGGCCTTGCCTGGTAAAATAAAAAGTTTAAAGTTCAGTTTTACTTCCCCACCCGCTCTGCCAGCGAGCGTAACGTTTGTCGCATTGCAGTTTAATGGTGAGAGGCTCCAAAGATTATCCGATACGAAATTAAGTGAGGAAACCAAATAAAATGTGGTGGCATGTTTAGTGTGTGCAGTCATCGGTGACCGGCCCCAGCGTGGGGAGCCGTCGTGTAGCGACTAACACGGCGACACGAGTTCGATTCCCGCTCAAGGCCAACACCAGTGACTGATCTGAACCGATCCTGGGCCTCTCCTAGGTCGGCTCAGCATCAAATGAATACCTGGTGCAGTGTGTAAACATCACCGCTGGGGAGACAAAGGCGCCGGGGTCTGGTGTTGGCCACCCACCCCCTCATGTGCCGTGCCGGCCTTCATAGGTGCTCGCTAACAGCACTTGCCCCAAGTCTGTGAAGGCTATACGGGAGATCTTCGTCATCTTTGCAGTCATTGGCGACCGGCGCTGAATCCGTCGACTCACGTGACTGAGGGTGAGGTCACTTGCAGGGATCTCAGAGGTAGCTCTCTGATACCCGCATCCGTGGGGCCGTTCTTGAAACACGAAGAGCCACACCACTCTGATAAATATGAATGGATTCTTATTCTCGTGACGGGATGCTGATAGCACACTTGAGATGAAATTGGGGGTGTGTATATAGATATATATATATTTTAAACAAGCCACAGCCTTCTGTTGACAACGGAGGAAATATTCAAACCAGTCGGGTTTTTTCCCCCTCGTTTAATAAACAAATACCACAAGGAGACACTGAACATCAGTTGCACGCAGAGTCGCCGCCCATCAGAACATGTTAAGCAGAAAGAAATCCCCCATATGAACGAAGCTTTAGTACCGAATCGCATCGATGTAACACAATAACCCCAAACACAGCCATCGGTGGCGGCACAGACGGCATCGGCCATGGTACAGGAAACTAAGCGGGGGTCGGTTCCCGGCATCAGCGCCCCTCCAGTCGATGGGGCGCAGGACGCAGTTGCACCGCCTGCACTCTCGATAGCCACACCGCCGCTGGGCGACAATTTTGGAGAACATTTGTCGCAAACCAAATGAAACCAAATCCAATGCACACCGCTCACACATGGCTGCGTTTCCCCACCACCACCACCACAGCCAAAGTGCTCATACCAATGCATACTCCCAAGCAACCAGGCTGCCGTGCACTCACTCTGGCAAGAACGTGCAAGCACGCACATGCGCGTCGTTTGCTTTACGCAAATAACCACGAAACGCTCTTCTTAAGGTGCCTATCAGCAATCATTTACAGAATATATACACAACATTCACGTACACCGTGACCCGATCGGCCGGAATGCTCCCCCCCCCCCCCCGCCGCCACCTCTTCAGATCTCGGGAGCCTAAGCAAGAGGGAAGAGGCCCGAACCAGCGCTGGGCTGGGCTGGGCTGGGAGACTGCCACCACGGCGGGGCCACCACCGGTTGCTCCGGGCGGCTGCGGGGCTCCGTTGCCAGGAGGGTGCTGGTGCAGCAAAACCCGAGCTGTTAATTGCCGACCTGTTAATTGCCGAGCTGTGACTCTCGACGTGGATGCTCACGGCCCCCCCCACCCTCCGCCATCAACGGCAAACCCGCACCGAGCAGCACGGTGAAGCAGGGTGAAGTAGTAACTCTGCACGGCGAGCTGCCCGCAATGGGGATTGCCCCTCATTCAGCAGTAGACCGACTGAAGGGCTGTACGTTTACACACAAGCACCACCACGCGTGTGTATGGGAAGTTCTGCGGCGGTTGAACAGCACAAATATGCAGTCTCCATGGCCCCATGAGCATCGCGTCCCATGTGCTCAAATGGGCCACGGGTGGCAGCGACTCCAGTTGAATTGCCGTTCTAAGAGTGATGATAATGGTGATTGTGGTGACCGATGATGTTTCATGATGACGTGATTGCAACCATGTAATGAAAATCATGAGATCAATGGAGTTGTGATTTAGGGCAAAAAAAGTGATTTACTGTGGTGATAACAGGGATAAATAACAATAGCAACATGATTTCAATAAACGCGACGACAATAAACATGGCTATAAATACGACTTTAACAATTAAGTGATACGCGGTGGTTTGGAGAGGCCTTCATCCAGCAGTTGGACGGGCCGTGGCTGAAGATGAGATGAAACGTGATGCTACTTTGCCGGTGATGAAATGCGATAAAAATTTGACTAGACGATGATAACCTAACGAACAAAAAAAATGTGACGATCGCGAATTATCGAATGGAGATAACAGGATGAATGAAACACAACGATGATGACGACGACGACGATGGTGAATCCAGTGCCAAACCACTCTCTCATACACATCAGTTTACCGCACGCACAACTTTGCCGAACCAGCTGGAGTTGACGTCGAAGTCCCACGACCGAATGTGCAACAGTGACCGCTCACGTGCTGAAGGGTACGTGCCAATATTCTTGTGCTGACGGATCTATGTGTTTACATATATAGATACGTATTCAAATAATGTTGAAAGCAATTTTATTAAATGCACTGTCAATTGTTAATAAAATTGTCCTTCATGCAGGGGAGCCTCACCGAATCCAGAACCACTTTCAAGAGGGTCTTGCATTGGTGCTTTTGGTCAATTCCGTTGTTGTTGTTGTCGAGTGCTTTGCAAGTGGGAAGAACCTGGATCATAGGAGGAGATATCAATGAACGGAGTGCATATACGAGTCAAGCACCCACTTGCTGTACTGCCACATCCTGGCCATCTCGCAGCCCAGTGGTTTGGGAACTTTGCAGGACGTGACTATCTATTCGTGACCCACCAACCCCCCCCCCCCCCACACCTATGAACGTCTTGTACCTGGGTGCAATTCTTCATTAGCTCCATCTGAAATCGACCAGGTTTTCCAGCTCGTAGGAAAACTTACCAAATGCCGATTCCACTGCGAGTCTCAATGACAAGTTGGCCGTGAGTTGGTCGCTTGAAACGCCAAGCAAGCATTGAAGACAGCAGAATTCACGTGAAAATGTAAACTGGTTGTGCATGGCATGAATTCAAAATAATGATAAAAAATTACTTCTGGAAGGCGGCCTGCCCCACGCTACGTCGGCGATGGTTGTTAGGCCATACGTCACCAGGCAGGTCAGTAGTGCAGTTTGGTGAAGGTGGAGGGGGGGGGGGCAGGACCGGTTCAGATATCACTCACCATGAATGTGAGCTGTGAGAGCTGTGAGAGCTGTGAGAGCTGTGAAAGCTGTGAGAGCTGTGACCTGTGACCTGTGAGCTGTGACCTGTGAGCTGTGACCTGTGAGCTGTGACCTGTGACCTGTAGTGGAACTGATGACGTGTGGTGCAGAGCGGCGGTGCACACGCTAACCACCGCGCTAACCACCGCTCTAACCACCACGCTAACAACCGCGCTAACCAAAACTGCCCTTGGGTGGTGCGGTGAAACAATCTCAGGACTGAAACAGTATGGGTGGGGGATGGGGGGGAAGCTTAATCATCCAGCTGTGGATTGGCAAAGGGAATGGATTAAGGCTGTGCTCACACAAGGGCCGATGGAAAAGTCCGCTTCACGACATCACTAGCAGGGTGCTTCAGCACCCAGCGGAAGCATGGCGCAAAAATGCAACACTTTGCCAAATTTGACGCTGAAGTGCATTTTCACAATGGGTTGAAAACACCCCGTGTTTGCGAGTCAACTGAAAAATGCAGAAAAATCTTAACAATCTGGAGAAACCCCCCCCCCCACGTTCAGCATGCCTGGCTCCCAGCACGTCCCACATGCTGCCAATTCACAAATCACTTTCGGGGAGAGTGATCGGCGAGTGGCGATGGTGCAGCGGGCGATGTCGGCAGGCCGAGTAGCAATAGCCTTGGTGCGACGATGGCAATGATGGACCAATGTCATTTCGCTTCACAGAGACCGTACGGAGAAATCAACGCAGCTTCGTTCACGGCCACTCGTCGCTTTCAAAATAAAAAAGCGGATGATCCGTCTCTCCACACGTACAAAAAAATATATAAAAGTATTCCTTACACATGCCATCGGCCGGGACGGCCTTCTGGGAGTGTACACGCCTTCAAAGCGGCATTGTTTCAAGACGAGCAAACCCTTGGCCGGTTTTGACACTCAGCGTCAGCGGTCAGACCTGCTGCTCGAGTCAATATTAGTGAACTGCCAATCTCATAAGCACGGCTCCTCTCTTGAAGCTATGGGATCCCAAATCGAAGGAAGAAACACTTTTACTTGATGTGGAGAGACATAAACATGCGAAGGAGAGTGATTTCTTTGTCATCGCTTTCAACACCAGTTCACAGACTCTTCCCATCACCGACAGTGTGTTTACAGATGCCTAACGAGAACTCTTTCCGAGTTAAGCGACACAAAGGGCGGATACACAAACACAATAAAGTCGTTTCGTAAAAAAAAACCATCCGCGTCAACAGTTGATTCCAAGTATTTTAGTCCCGGCATCACTCCCAACAGAGGTTGCGTAGAACTCTCCGTATTTACAACGGGTTTAGCTCGGGAAGCAGAAAGGAATGGCTCACACTTTGCGAATCTCAGCCGCCGTACAAAAGCTGACGCACGTTGTAACCCAACGGTGCGAAACACACTTTAGTCCGTAACAGAATTCGGCAACTTTAAATAAAAACGTGGAATGACTTAGCGCGTCGCTGGACACGTCATCGGCGACTCGTTTTAACACAAAACGCCCGCCGCGCGATTAGACACGGCTCTTCTGCGCGCGCGGAGTTTTCACGCCTCGGCTCCGTCACTGACGACTGCATAAATAACACAAATCTGAATGCACTCCGACGAATAAAGCGCAGGTACGCGACGGGACTTGGAAGAAGAACGCACGTCGGAGGAAAGTCCAGTCCACAAGCCATTGTAAGATTGATCTCTCACCAGGATCACTGGGCTACTTGGGAGTTTTAATAAGCTTCGCTCGTTGTGCCGTTAACAGCACAACCGGGACACCGTTTGGTGGAAAATTAAGCCGATGTATTTTTAAACATAGATATAAAAATCTCAACATAAGGCTGCAAAGATTTGAGCACAAGCATGACATGAGACCTGTCTCGAACATAGAAAAACCACCAACAAAATAGCATTCACCAAATTGTTGATTAACAACAAATAAAATTGCATTTTCACCATTATCACCGTCCATCGGTACGGCCTGAACCCAGGAATACCGCGCGCTCATTCACGAGCCTCTGATCGAGCCAGAGGAGGGTCCTGCGCCAGGCATATTTGGCTCCACACCTCAAAATCTCAGCGCCATTCAGTAGGGGACCCACCCCCCCCCCCCCCCCCCACTCAGATAATCGGGTTAAATTGAAGTCGGCGGATCGCATTGATTAATCCCTTATTTATGTGCAGGGTGACAAGAGCTGTTTCTCTCTTATAGCAACACAGACCTGGGGTCAGCTATAATTTTCTATTGTAATAAAAGTTGCAGGTTCAATTCCTTGCAAACTTAGGCCATGCATTTAAAATGCCAGCAGCTACTGCTGTATCTGCAGGCGCGAATAAATAATGGTGAAATACCGGTTGTGCTATTACGGGTACGATAATGAAGCTGAATGTCACAATTTACGATGGGTCGGTGCGATTTTTAAATTGAATGCCACGTGCATTGTGGACAATCATCTCTCGCCAAAATCTGCACACACATTTATTTGCCATCGCATCACAATTTTGTTTCCCTTTACATACAATTTTCTATTCACACTCGCAGTGTATGTGAATTGTGCTTGACTGCACATGTGCGTATGTGTGTGGACACGTCTACCCGTGTCTATCCATGAGCGTACGTGTGCAGCGGGAGTGGAGTAGCAGTTAGCGCGCTGTGCTACAAAACCCGTCGACCTGCGTTCGATTTCCGCTCACGGCGAACACCGGTGACGATTATCCGAACCGGTCCTGGGCCTCCCCTAGGTCCACTCAACCACCTGGTGAGGAGTAAATATCGCCACGAGGGAGACAAAGGCGGCTGGGTGCCGTGCCGACCACCAACCCCCTCGTATGCCATGCCGGCCTTCGTAGAAGCTCGCTAACAGCACTTGTCTCAACGGTCTGTTAAGTCTATATGGGGAAGGGGGGGCTTTAGCTTTATCTTTGTATGGAGCATGTGTGTGGTACGTGTTTATTCATCTGTTTGCGTGCGAGGAGCGGTGGCGCTGCGGTTAGGGCACAGACCAAACCCTGCGACCTCTGTTTGATTCCCAGCCACGGCAACTCGAGTGGAGATTGTCTGAAGCGGTCGCCATACTCTCACGAACAGACAAACATCAGCACCGAGCAGAAAGAGGCAGCCGGGCCTGCTTCAGGCCTCAACACTCCACCTTGTACTCTACCACGTCTATGCTCCCCCCCCCCACTCCACCAAGCACGACCCCGCACGGCGCGGGGAGGCCCTCATCTAGCAGCGGATTGACAAAAAGAGTCGTGTGTGCACCTATGCATGTGGTCTGTATAGACGTGTGTGCAAGCATTGCGCGTGTGTGTACGAGAATGGGAGCGAGCGTGATTTCCAAAAAAATACAATCATCGATGACTTTTACATTTCAATGGGGTAAATAGTTGCCGTGTCACTGGCTAAATGCAGCTCAAAATGCATTAGGAAACCCATTTAGGGCGCGCACAGAGAAAGTACTCCCGTGCCGGCCTTATCAAGACAGTTTCACAATGAACTTAGGGGCCAAATCCATTATCTTTCTCCTTTGTGGCGAGAATTAGAACAAGCCGGCAAAGCCAGTCTTTAAAGGGAGCCCGATTCCTGCCGTTAGGAGGTTGTCATCGACTGCGTGCAGATAGGAGTGCATGCAGATGTAATCGCACCGACACACGGCATAACGTTACGAATCTGGATTCCGTTAGGTTTCGCGAAGATTGGTGAAGGGGTTGTAGTTTTTGTGTGTGCACGAGAAGGCTCCCTCTTAAGGACTCACAACTGAATGTAATCTATCCCAGACGTTAAGTGTTGGTGGGACTCCCTCCGCTCCCCGTGACGTCGAACCAGCGTGGAAGAGGAGGCCAAAAACACGCTCGAGCGGGGACTCGCTCCATGGCACTCCCCCCCCTTAGCGGAGGCTCTTCCGCCAGCAGCGGCGTGAGTCACGCAGGCCAGCGGACCTTTGCCTTCACGAGTGGATAACCCTATAGCTGCTCCCACTTTAAAGCGGCCACCCGCGTCTTTTTTAATCATCGGCGGGAGGCAGCGGAAAAAAATCGAATTCGATGTTTTTTTTTTAGGTAAAACACTTCCGCACGCGTTGTTATTTTATTTTTTTACGTTTAAAACGACGCTGCAGCGTCGCCACGCAGGTTCTGGGACAAGGCGGCGGCCTCCACCGCAACAACGCTCAGGGGGGCCGTCGCAGCGACGGCCCCCCGCGGCACGGGGCCCTGGCCCCCCGGACACAGCGCCGTCTCACGCGATGCCTCCACCTTCTCGGACACGTAAAAGAGAAGAATAATAAATAGATTCCAGCCATTCCCAATCCACCAATGGATTAAGACCTCCCCCCCCCACCACCACACCATGTCAGTCACAGGATTTACATTTTATTTTTTATTTAACAATACTTCACCACACTGGTTAGTAGTGCGGGTTGGTTGGGATGGGCAGGACCGGTTCTGATATCACTCGCCACGGATGTCAGCCGTGGCTGGAAATCGAACTCGGCTTGTCGGGTTCATAGCACGGTGTGCGCTCACCACTGGGCCACCACTCCACCCCTGCAGTGAATTATCTACTAAACTAAACTACGCTATTCATTTATCCGGCAAAGCCCCATCCAGCTGGCCACAGCTCATTAGGTCTCTGAAGAACGCTGATCGCGGCGTTGCAAACGGGAGCGATGAGTGCCCCTCGGAACTGGAATGTTGGATCGGGTAAAGCGGTCACCGTTGAGCGGGCTGAGTAACACGGACGCGTGCCAGAGAGAGAGAACCCCGTGTCGTCATTGCGAGATGACTTCGAACCCAGGATCTCAGAGCTGCCAACTCAGCACCTCCGCCACGGCCACATTATGAAAAGGCCCGAGACACGAGGCCACTTCCCCCATGCCAAATGTTCAAATAGTAATCCGGCAGAGGAGGAGGCATCTTGATTTGATAGTTACGTTTTCTATAATCGGCAAATGTATTAAGTTTGAATGGGAAAGAGACCGGTAGGTTCCTACCCAACGTCCTGTAACGATGCCCCCTCTCGTGTAAGGGCCAATGGTATCTGTCTGTGGATGCCACGGATATTATTGTCAAGGGCTTGACTCCGTTGTTCGGTGGGAGACTAGACCGTGGCAGTCGGGTGTTGGCCATGCAGCAAGCTGTGCGAGACCAGGCAGAAGGAAGGAAGCGAAGACCAACCCGTGTTTCTCTCAGTCGGCGACGACAAATCGAGTAAAATATTGCGGTCGGCGAGAAAAACATTGTACAAAAATACAAGACGTCAAATGTTGCGAGGCTGATGCCTTTCGAACCAAATCACACGTTGCTCTGCTGTTGCCATTCGGTGCACGTTACGCCGACGTATCCACACAGCCCCCGGGCACACGGTAAAGGACGCGCAAAAGTCTGGTAGAAGCGCACAATTCAGAGTAGGGGACACGGCAGATTTCATACGACACGGGAAACGGCAATTATTATCTCAGAAAAGCAATACCAAAATAAAATAAAGACACGTTTAATACAACGCAGAGAAAAATATTCACAACTTAGAAGGTTTGTTGAGATTGCGTGTTTGAAGGCGGCACGCGTTGAACGAAAGCGTTTGAAAAGCAACGATTAGGTGTTTAACGATGAGAAAACGGGAGGATTAAGCGGCTAAAACATAGTTGGGTCATTAATTTACCCAGCACAGCCTCCAGGATTTTCCAGAATCCAGTATCACCAGTCTTGAAATTGACGATATTCGACTGATTCCTCATGCAATGGGAAAGACCAGAGTACCCAGAGAATTCTCAGGTACAAACGAGATATTACAAAAGAAAATTTACCAACACAGATAGGTCAGTAACCCACTTCCCGTACTCCCATCTAACAGCCACCTCACGTAATCCGGCCTGCATCTGGCGTTTCCAAAGGAATGTAATCCAACTGCTTTTACGATGACTTTATTCGGGGAGTGTACTCTGCGTGAATTGGCTGCTTCCGCCCTCGCATCAACGCCAGCTGCTGTCACAAACACTTACCCCTCCTTTAACAAAGTGATTGAAATCATTAAAATATAAATTAACAAAATGAAAGTTATTTGTACAAAGCATTCAGCAGTTACGTGCTAAGAAAAGTAATCCGATAACCCGCTGAAAACAGTGATCATACGGGATTTCAGGCCAGTAATTGGGCAGACCGATTACTGTAACGTGATGCAGTGAACGCACGCGTAGATTGCAGCGCGAAGTGAGGGATGATGGAATGAAAACCTCAGACGCGCTTGCAGAAAAACAACTAGCTGCTAGCCCAAATCAAAATCATATCGCACCCTCCAACAAAAATCATCTGCAACCAAGTGTACCTTTCCATCGATCGCAGAATCGCTGATCGCAAAGTGCCTCCGAAACGCAGCCGAATTTCCAGATAAGGGAAGAAATTTTAAAATAACAACTGCTCCCAGATTCACCCCCCACCGCTCGTGAAACTCAAAACAGACGGTGACGGCTTGCTTTCCCGCACTTCGCTTGCAAAGCACGATTGCGAATCGTCCCAGGATTAAAATGCTTCGGTCACGTCAAGCCACGTCAATTTTCTCTCGCACGTTAAGACCCGCGTGCGGGTGCCCCCGCACGTGAACACCCGCACATATCGTTACGTCGCCTCCCATTCGTTTTGAACGTGTTGTAGGCTAAACATGTTTGAGGCTCAACCCAATCCATCCACATAAAGGGGAAGTAACGCCTCGGAAATACAACTCTGCAGTTTTCTTTTGAGTCTGTAGCAAAGACGTAGTATATCCGGACATCGCGAGTAGCACATCACGTGCCGCATAATACTTAATACGGTGTAGCCTCTCATGAAACGCGGCGAAACTTTGTGATGCACGCAAAAGGCATAAAAAGCTCCACACTGGTTTGTAGATCCCCGCAGCCAACGATACGCGAGGTTGACTCGCTCAGCCAAACCACATCTTTTGGCAATGAATGAGCCACCATCCTGGCCCGCAAGAAATGTCGTGACCACAAATGGGCGCCCGATACCCACACATAATTGGCTGCGTAATCTCACAGTCCTTTGTGCGCCCGATGCCTTTTGTGTGCAGCGAGGGAATTTCATTTGTCTGTTCGAGGGCACTCCAGAATTTGCTCTTGGCGATTATGCAGTTGCAAATGTGTCTAAACTTTGGAGAATTTTTTTTAACACGAAGACACACACACTTAAAACACGCACGCATATGAAGGGATTATTCAACAACATCATCAGCAGCATTTAGCAGGGTAATAGAACCATACGCTATGATCGGGACATGGTCTAAGGAATACTAAGCGACCGCTGCGTAATACTCACAGCGGACCGACGGGCAGTTCGCTGTGCGTCGTACGACGAACCGCTGTCGCATCCCGCGACTTGGCCCAATTTTGACGCCCGCATGCGGCAGAGGAGGAGCATTACACGGACATCGGGAGGCGTCAATTTAAATCCTGGTCCGTGCACGCTGTGCCAGATAGCGAAGCAGTGGCTGGTGGATGCGCAACCGTCAATGAAAGCCCCGTCTCCGAGCATTGACACTTTAATGTAGCCCGACGGGCGATGGGGGGAGGTGGGAGAGAGACGGGGGAGACGAGACGATGCATCGGTTCAGCGAACAATACAAGCATCCAATGGCGTGCGTAAGAATCTGTGTTTCTAAATTCGTACGTGCGTTGTAATGCAACGAGTTCACGTTTAAACTAAACTATAAACTATTTTTATTTGACCAGGTAAGGCCCACGGAGCTGTATAGCTCTTTTTCAGAAGTGACATAGCCACAAATGATAGGCCAATAAAGTGGCTTATCATATGCAAATTTATAGCAGCCAAATACTCGAAATGCATGTTTATAAATGTGGAGTGAAAAACTGGAGGACCCGGAGAAAAATCAACACGATCACGGTAAGAGAGACATGGAAACTCCAAATATACAGCAGGCGTCAGGGTCGGGATCGCACCCACGACCTCCTGCAGACCAGGCGAGGTAGTAAACATCTCACCACTTCCCCAACCACGAGCGGCACATATTCCCACCGCAACTGAAATCAAGAGAAGCTCAAATAAATTCTGAGGCTGGAATTTTCTGCCTCTGTAGTGCCCATAAGTGTACTTGTGCCAAGTATCTGACAGAACCTCTATTTCAGTTTTCAAAAACGAATTAGTTCATCAACAGTTCACCGTTCTACCTCGAGAATCAACAGCGATGCATGCCCCACCTCCCCCTCTCTGCGGGGATTTGGAAAGCAATGATGATGATGAAGAATCCCTTTAAGTTCGGCAAGACTCAACGTTGCTCAGGGGGCTTGCGAGCCACCCTGCGCTCCGACCACCACGGCACTCGGCAGGATCACAACATCGCGGAGCGCATTCTGTGGCCGAGTGAGCTCGGGTTGTCCCCGTCCCCAGTTTTCCCAGAATCGTGCTCTTGTCATGGAGGCGGCAAAACTGTGTCACGGGAAAAATCTGTCGGTCTCGCCAGGACGTAAAAAATCCCGGATTTTGTCAGCTGCGTAAAAATAATAATAATTCACCACCCAAGGCAATGCATTTACATTAAATTCTCCCCTCTCTCTGCTATTGTGAGATATTCTTCATAACCATGGTGTGTCATGGTCTTATTGTACCTTTAAGAGATTGCAACCCGAGCGTGGCTGTTGGAAGATAGAGGGGCCAAGGTTGTGGCTGTCGCCAAGTGAGAGTTGGACAGAGAGATGGACAGAGACACGGACAGGGACATAGACGGAGAGGAAGGAGGGCTGCCGTGCTGGCGATGCTCATGGCACGGCCGGTTCTGTGCGGCGCGTGCGGTTGTGAAACACCTTAATAGCGCCGGTGAAATCTGCCGTCACCAACACCTCGCCGTGCTCTTCTGACCGGGCAGAACCTGGGGGGGGGGGGGGGCAACGGGCAACTTTCAGCGCCGCGTGAGGATGCATGGGGAGCCACTAGGAAAAACGGAGACATGAGGGGACGCACGTGGGGACACACACGTGGGGACACACGTGGGGACACACGTGGGGACACACGTGGAGATACATGTAGGAACAAAGGGAGACACGTGGGATCTGTAATAATTTGGTGGACATTCTGGTTATGTGCGTGGTGGTGGGGTGTTAGGCATACTGACTGGTTGAATCAAATGTGGTGGCATGTGTAGTGGTGTAGAGTAACCCATCCCTTGTGGGAATGTGGATATACTGGCCACATAAATGTTAGTAGTGTGGATGTTATGGCAGTGGTGGTGTTCGAAAAACTAGTTTGCGTTTCAGTACGAGTGGGTGGGTGGGTGGATGGTGAGTGAGTGAGTGGTGAGTGAGTGGTGAATGTGTGGTGAGTGAGTGGTGAGTGAGTGGGTGGTGAGTAAGTGGTGAGTGTGTGCGATTGAGTATATCAGCGGGTGTGTGCATGTGCGGGCGAGTTATCGTGACCTGCAGTGTGGCGGTTGAACACGGTGCGGGATGAGACAAGACACGAGTGGATGCATGCCCAGTGAGCGAACGAGCGATAAAGCGAGCGGCGGTGGCACAGGGGCGACACGGGGGGCTGCCAGCGTGGCGCGTACCGGCCGTACCGGTCTCCGTGGATCCCTCACCGCCCTCACTGGGTACCACTTCCTCGACCGTCGGAACGTCCGAGCCGGTGATGAGCGCAGGATGGGGCGAGAAGATCGCCGACGTCACGACTGCGTTGTGAGCTGCGGGGGGGGGGGGGGGGGGTGAACGCACGGGGAGACACGGGGACGCAGAGACAAACGTGGACGCTAGGGGACACGCGGGTGTTCCATGCGCCGAGAGCAGAAAGTGCGGCACGTGTGCCATTCACGGCCCTTTGTCAATCCACCGCTAAATGAAGGTCGTGTTGGTCACAGGGGGTTACTATACTTCACCGCGATCATCAATACGCGGTGGTGAAGGGGGTACGCGCACGCAGGACTGGTTCAGAGATCACTCGCCGCGGTCATTAGCCGTGGCCGTGGATCGAAATCGCTGCCCTTTTCCCCCGACCCGATTGCAATCCTCACCCTTGAAGCCCTCCCAGTAATCGTTGCGGTCCCTGCGGACGGAGGAGAAGCGGTTGACGTCATGGTAGGTCTTCCACAGGTACACGTAGCGGTCCTCGGATCCAGACACCATGTGCTGAAAGTTGTGACTGAGAAAGAAAAAACGCACGCAAGCGCACACACACAACACATCTCATGCTAAATCTTAATGATTATCGTCTCCAAGTGCATCCCAATTGTTCGATATGCAAGTGATGAGATGCAATATCCATTTGGATCTCTCGCACAGCAGCAGTGCGATCATCTCCATTAGAGAACGGCACGCGGAAGTGGATATAACAGAGCCACCTCTGAGACCTCTTCAATTGACCTCTGGTACGCACGGGAGAGGCGGAGCACTTTCTCACCGAGCGTACTGCTTGTCATGCGACAGCCTAACCGATGAATTTAATTATCAAGAGGTGAAATTTAGCCAAGTTCAGTGCAGAACCAAATCTATTGCAACGATTAGTTTGTACATTCACTGGTGAGAAGACCGACTCACTGCGCTTGAGAACCCAGTTTAACCACAGGCAGCTGCCTGGATGTGAACCCAGGCTCTTAGGCGTGTTAGCTCAGCGCTGTGACCTCCACGCCACCTGGACGCTTCAACTCCTGAGTAGCCCTTTTGGACCACCAGGGCAAGTATTGTATTGTTGGTGGACACTTCATCTTAGTCAGCGGTGAGGTCACCAGGAGGTCGGACAGAGCAGTGAGCCGGCAATGCTGAGAACCTGGGTTCAAATCCTGGTTTTGGCCACTCGTGAATAAAACTGAGCATTAGCCTAACCGACGACTTCACAAAAAACCCCATCACATAAAAAAAACCCACTTAATTTGTCCAAATGCATGCGCTCAACAATTAAAATAAATCACCAACTGGTGACAAAGCATGTCTCTCTCGCGGGGTGTGTGGCAACGTGCTGCCCCCATGTGTGGATGAGACTGCCGCTTGAAGGTTTCCCAGGAGCACCTCTGCGATATTGGTGATGCACCACAAACCAGGTGGCGCCACGCAGTCCGCAATCGGGAGAGAGGTTGGGGCAAACAACCCCACAAAGCCAAGTCGGCATGGTGCACCAATGCGTTGGAGCATCTCCCCAGCATTCATGTTTACATGGGAAGCATCAAATACTTATTAAAGGCTGAGTTCACCTAGGGGAACCCGGTACTTGTTCAATTTAACAAAAAAAAATTCCCCCTCGGCTTCCAACTCGTGTCGGACAGCCCGGGACACACAGCTTAAGTGTGTAGCTAAAAAGATAAGACCTGCTGGCTTTTTTGGATTGCATCTTAAAAAAATTCGATTTACAATACTCCGACAGATTCAAGCGCGGCTTCAAACACATCAGCATTGATGTGCGCGAGCGCTCGGGAAACGCAAGTGCGCCGGCCTTCAGACGGCGCTCGCGTGATAAGACCGTTTAACAAGCCGACCTGTTCTTAGAGGTCACCCGAAGGGATCTCGCAAACAGTTCTGCGATATCCGCTTCTGTGGGCCGCACTCTTACACGAAGGGCCGTATGACTCGGTGAGGCTGCACTCTTACACGAAGGGCTGCGTGACTCTGTGAGGCTGCACTCTTACACGAAGGGCCGTATGACTCTGTGAGGCTGCACTCTTACACGAAGGGCCGTATGACTCTGCGAGAGATTCGAGTGGCCAGTCGAAAAAATCGGGACGACATTGGGGGGGGGGGAAGAAGAAATCTCTTTATTCTTGAACAGTTTCAGCCTCAATGTGACCATCGCCAAATCTACAGACCTTCATCCGAGGGGTGGCGGCAAACGTAAACTTGTCAGAGGTCCGAAAGTTTGGCGCAGGTCAGACTTGTATTCTTAGGTTCTTTCGGTAAAGTCACGTAAGTGAGAAAAAAAAATCACGACGTTTCGATTGCAACACAAGCAATCATCATCAGGTGTGACAACCACAGCAAGAAATATTAGTAAAAAAAAAAAAATTCACCTACCTGACTTTACCAAAAGAACCAAAGAGTATGGATCCTTGCAGTCACGAAAACTTCAAATCTAGCAGTCAGACTGATTGGGTTTTTGCGTTATCCCACCCCCAACCCCCGTGCACTGCCCAAGGCACATCTCACGGAACGTCCGCTCGCCACGACCTCCACAGGCGGAAACTGAGAGACAGCCCAGCGAGCGATTGCAGAAACGCTGACTGGGCCATACGTAGGCAACGCAGTCGTAGAGAACCACTGACTTTGCCTTCCTGCTCCCTCCTGGGACAGTCATCGCTGACGAACACTCTTCTGAGTTGCTATCCCACCGGCCGTCACCCACCCCCCCCCCACCTCCAGCACGCTGGTTGGCCGGTCGGCTCGCAATCGCAAGGTTGCGAGTTCATATCCTGGCTGCGGGCGGGGGGGGGGTCGACTCAGCCCATAATCCCTCCAGGGTAGGTAAAACGAAATACCACGTTACGGCGAAGTCAGCAGTGGTTGTTTTATCGGCAAACTTGCCCCCACCAAGAGGAAAGTGGAATTTCCACCCCTGGCTCAGAGGATGAGCGCACTGCCTCTACGCTCACGTGAGTCGGCAGTCTCGCGACGGCAAGACGGAGGGAGATCCTCTATGAGACAGGCCCTCAGACTCTGGATCGCAATATGCGAGCGGCATTGGCGGTGCCTCTCACCTGAAGCTGGCTTTAATCTGGCTGCTGTTGTTGAGGCTGCCCTTGTACTTGATGCAGAGCGAGAGGTCGCGGAGGTCGTAGAGGCGGATTCGCGAGTCATTTGAAGTCACGAGGATCTGCCGACGAAGACACAAAAGGAAAATAATGGATGGAACTTGCGTTGAACGTACAACCCTGGCGTGTTTTCCGTGATCACAATGCAACTGGCTTCACGGTTAGTGCGTGGCGAATAGTGTTAGGGTTAATGTCAGAGTCAGGGTTTGGGTTAAAATAAATGGCCAGGGATAATGTTAAGAGATAATTTGAGCATTAGGGCTAGAGTTCGGGTTAGGTGAAACGGTTAGACTCTTCTTTTGGTCACCTCTTAACATTAATTTTTGAGGGCGTAGACCATAATGTGGGGAAACCCGCTAATAACCGAGGGCCGGATATGTTTGACTTTCATCAAATACCTTCCCCACTGGTCAACCAGACGTGGACACGTGTAACCCGCATCTCAAGCCAAGCGCTGTCAAAAGCAAGATGATTGAGCACACAAAAAATGTGCGAGCATGCTGAATTTAGAAACGCAGCGTTGCCCCCCTCTCTAGTGCACGATTATGGTGCGGCTAAGAAGCTTGCAGTGATGAATGGATAACGTTTTCCGGCTACATCGCATTGGCTTGGAACCACCGGCCTTATGAAATGAAGTCGTGGGCCGGTCTGGCCCACTGACGGGGCAATTGGTTCCCCACCAATTGCGTAGAGGCCGCTACTGGGGCAGCAGGGACTGGCGCGACGAGGCAGGCGAGGGGATTGGGGGTTGGACACAAGGTACAGGGCCGCTACCGCACCTTGTTCTCCGCGGGAAGGGGCTCGATCCCCGTGATCTTGCGCCCGACGCGGTTGCGTCCTCGGCTGGATCGCACGTGGATCTGCGTGAAGTACTTGAGGTGCTGCCAAGATCACCGCCAGGACGACACGCGCGCACGAGGGTCGCGGTTAAAATCCGGGCACGAGTTGTCAACGTGCTGCATTCGGGACAGCGCTCAACCCACAATCCAAAGTCGTGAGTTCGAATCCAGGTTGAGGATAAGCTCAAAGCTTCATCATCGTAATCTATCAAATTCACATTACTTTTTCGGAATTCTGCAATCGCCATCATCATCAATCGCTATGATTGGTCGATTTGGCCTCAATAAAACGAGCACTACCAAGTAAGCCACATTTTTGTTAATGGCCATCCATCATTGTGAACCCTCGCTGCCAAAGACCACCTCCGCTCGCCAGGCGGTGGTGTAGCTATGCTGCCCGTGCCCTCTCGTCCAGCCCTGCGGAGGCAGCAGCCAAAGTTGGTGGATCACACGAATGTTGTGAAACTCCCTTCCCATGAGCGTCGGGGAGGAGGCAGTACATCAAGTGGACTAATCGCAATCTGTTTCCATCTGTACGGGGATAGTGTTGCCCCCCTCGCACGTGTGAGTTTTCTCCGCGTGCTCCGGTTTCCTCCCACAACTCATCATTAATTGGCTGAAAACATCTTAACCCTTTCCGAGACATCTGAAAGTTGCAAGATGGGTGTCCCGTTCACCGCTGAATCTCGGAACGTGCAAGCGGTGAACATTGATTTGATTTAGAGCGTCGTAGCGCCGTTGTTTTTTAAGACATTTTACTCACTGAAGAGAACCGCAGCAGCACGACCGCACTCTACGATAGCTGCTGCCAAACTGTACCACACGCCCTTCCGCATGGCCTTGTGGGAGCCTCGGTACCGTTAGTTTTTCTTCTGGTCATCGAAATGGCAATCGGAAGAAAAACGGATGACATGCACGACGTACGTTATCGGAATGTGGCTCTCCTGCATAAATGTCAAGTCAGGAAAGACAAAATAACAAGTAACGGACACTTACGAGTGAGAGGGGAGCGCCATGCTTCCCCGTGTCATGCCTGCTGCACGGACCAACTCACCTCCGTCTCGTAGAAAACGCAGCGCCCGTCGTAAGTGCCGATGACGGCGAATTTGCCGTTTTGGCAGAAGTTGGCGGCCGTGATGAGCTTGGTGGCCCCGTCCACCTCGTTCCAGAGAGCCACTTTCTTCTCGGGAATGTTCCACAGGCGCAGCTTGCCATCCAGCGAGCCGCTCAAGAAGTAGCGGTCGTCCTGCGCAGAGCGGCAGCACACAAGTCGCTCAGATGGGCGCCGCGGTGGCGAGATGTTAACTACCTCGCCTGTTACGCAGGAGTATGTGGTTCGATCCTGACCCTGACGCCTGATGTATATTTGGAGTTTGCATGCCTCTCTCCCTGTGCTCGTGTAGATTTCTCCGGATCCTCCAGTTTTTCCCTCCACATTTATAAACATGGGTTTTGAATATTTGGCTGCTAGAAATGTCGATAGGAACAGCCACTTCCTTGAGCTATACATTTGGGACCAGGTCACTTCTGAAAATAAGCGAAATATCTCAGTGGGCCTTACCTGGTAAAGTAAAATGTGTCGTATCTACATCGTGTATGTACATAAGCTGTACATGCAACTATACGTTTGAATGGGGGAGTGGGGGTGGGAGTGGAAGCACAGCGGACAGTGCACCGCGCTACGACCCCGATGACCCCAGTTCAATTCCCGCAACGACAGTGACGAATACCTGAACCGGTTCTGGGCCTCCCCGAGGTCGACTCAGCTTTAAATTAGTACCTGGTGAGGTGTGTAAACAACAGCACTGGGGAGATAAAGGTGGCCGGGTGTGGTGCTGGCCAAACCCTCGTGTGCCACGTTGCCCTTCAGAGATGCTCGCTAACAGCACTTGCCCCATCAGTCAGTTAAAGGCTACATGGAGGATCTTTGTCTTGGTGTGTATGAAATAATGCACAGGGCTGGTTAACGCAGGGGCTTTAGGGGTTGCTGCCCAGGGCCACGGATTTATTTAGGAGCGCCACAAAAATAAACTGTTTCATGACAGTTGTAGCACTGCGATAGATACTGCAGTGTCATTTGTAAATTACAGCCATAACATCACCATTGTATAACTTTGTGAGTTTTATTTACTAAAAACAAGATAGTTTTGATCATTAAACTTGTACTTGGCATGAGCGGTGGTTGGTAAATGGAGTCGAGTATAGGAATTCAATCTGCAGAGATGGGCCCTCAATACTAGAACAGCCCCGGGCTCCAATCAAACTTAATCCGGCCGTGTGTATAAGTGTGTGATGTGTATGTGTGTGGAGAGTGCTGGTGTAGCAGTTAGTGTGTTGGGATACGGACCCGGCAACCAGAGTTCAATTCCCGCTCACGGCCACCATGACAAGTGACGATTATCTGAATCCGATCGTGTGCCTCCCCTACGTTTACTCAGCCTCAAATGAGTACCCGGTGTGATGTGTAAAAAAACATCGCCACTGGGGAAAGGCGGTCGGGTGTGGCCACCCACCACCTCGTGTACCGTCTTCATAGGTGCTCACGAACAGTACTTGCTCTCATTTTAAACACGTCGGCTTTCGTGACCAATATTATTCATAATAAAGGTTTTTGGGTTAGATCGCGTTATTTAAAAATGTGTCGTAATCCCTCACCACCCGACACGGCCAAACAGTAAAAAAATGTTGATTAAAAGCTTTCGTGACTGCAGGGATTCATATTATTGGTTCTTTCGGTAAAGTCACGTAGAAGGGAAACAATAAAATAATAAAAATATAAAACAATAAAATTCTCACGACGCTTCGACAGCAAGAAAATTTTCTTGCTGTGGATTTCACACCTGATGATGAATGCTTGTGTTGCAGCTGAAACGTCGTAATAATTTTATTGTTTTATATTTTTATTATTTTATTGTTTCCCTTCTACGTGACTTTACCGAAAGAACCAAGAATATAAACAGTAAAAAAAGTGTCACGTTGACAAAAATCAAATAGTTCACTACTTTAGCCCACCGGTGTTTTGAAGAGTGAATCCACAGCATTTACAATTTTTTAGTACGACGTTTCGCTGGTAATTACATCCAGCATCATAACGCGATTGAACCCAAAAACCTTTATTATGAGCACTTGCTCTAACAGTCTGCTCAAGGCTATCTGGGGGGTATTTATCTTTGTGTAGTGGCATAGCGCCGGCTGCTGGCAGAAAAGGGGATCTGCAGCTTAGGGCAGTCCTGACGTCAGCAGGCCGGGATGTACACGAGAGCGGGTCTAGGGCACAGGTCACAAAAGGGGCACACCAGCAACTCGCTAGTAGGTTCCAGAAAGGGGGCGTGGCTGGGGGTGGAGCCAGGCCACGCTGACAGTATAAGAGGGGCCCCTGTAGGGGACCTCAGGGCTGTTGTTGGAGTGGGATAACCCGTCGTGCTGCTCAAGTCTTCGTAGCCATCCTTCTCGTCGTCTTCACCGTCCTTCTCGTCAACGTCTCCGTCTTTACCATCTCGGGATGCCGCCAGTCAGGCAGCCTACCAACTGTCGCCGGCAATAGACGGACTGATTATGAAGAGTGTTAACCCCGATGGTGCTTGTTAATAAAGAAGTGCCTCCAAGTCTTATCGTTTCCGAGTTAATCACTACATATGTACACATACGTGCATATACAAGGAAACGGTGCTGCCCTGCCATTACTTGCTCATGTCACTGCTGGCTGAAGGGCCTTCAAGAGAGAGGGCTCTAGACAGAACCTCTTCTTCCACAATGACCAGACGTCTTGGAAGAGGTGGGAGTATTTACACTTACCCCACCACCAGCCCCGCTGAACGGTTGTACTTAGTTATTCTGCTGGATGGACAGGCGCCAATTGAGTCTCCGCAGTGCCAATGATTACACACCAGACCAGGTACTTATTTAAGGCTGAGTGGACCTAGAAGCAGTCCATGGCCAGTTCAGATAATCACCTCTCAAGTTAGCCCATGGCCAGAAATCCAACTCGGACTGCCGGATTAGTAGCCCCTATTGTATTGTAACAAGTGATCCTCCTATACCTAGACTGGAAGCTATCACGGGGATTGTGATATTTTTTTTATCATATGGCTGCAAGCCACCAACGGCAATGCATGTTCATTGTTCCAGTCACGGCAAACAGAGCCAAACCCCCGACTAATCCTGTTCCGCACACCCTATCCCACACTCGGTGGAGCAGTGCCTGACAGGCAAAACAAGTCACGGACGGATTCCACGAGCGAGCGAGCGAGCGCCGTGTGTTACCCGCGGGTGGAAGGCGATGGCGGTGACAAAGTCGATGTGCTGGAAGCAGCAGAGGCACTCCTTGCGCGAGATGTGCCACAGCCGCACCGTTTTGTCCATCGAGGACGACAGCAGGAAGTAGTTCTGTGGACGTCGAGAGAGCGAGAGTAGAGATTCACCTTTTGTTTCGTACGTATACATGTTGAGCTTCTTTCTCGCCGTACGTAGGGAAAAGTGCTACTCGGAGGTGCGGGGAAAGACAAAAACTTAACAGGTTTTTGTGTTTAGTTTGTTGTCCTTCCCCGCACCTCCGATCAGCTCGGTTGGCTACGTACGGTCCGAAGGAAGTTCAACGTACGTACCATAATAAACAAAAACAATAAACTCAACTTTTTATTTTACCGGGTAAGGCTCACTGAGCTATAGAGCTTTTTTCAGAAGCGGCCTGGCCACAAATGATATGCCAACAAAGTGGCTTATCACGTGGGAATTTATAGCAGCCAAATACTCTGAATGCTTGTTTCTAAATGTGGAGTGAAAGACCGGAGGACCCGGAAAAAAATCCATGCGCCCACTGCGAGAACATAACTTCAAATAAACAGGTGACAGGGTCGGGATCTAACCCACGACTTCCTGTATACCAAGCGAGGTAGTTAACATCTCCTAGCCACCCCGGCTGACCATTACTATTATTCAACATTATCTCACCACCGCAGCGCCACGCCATGATCATTCTGTAGTTTTACAAGTTGGCGTTGCTTTGCATGCTCTTCAAAAGTTGAGCTTCGGGAGTAAAATTGAGATTGTTTTTTTTTAGTAAACCGAGGTACGGTACATCTGGCCACGTTATTTTGACGACCCACTGCGGTTGGCTGAGCGGTAGCGTAGATGCAGCGGCTAAGGTATTGGACACGGCAGCTGTGGGCTTAGCGACGTCAGCGAGGACGTGCTGGCTGTGCGAATGGTGGTGGGAATGGCAAACAACCCCTGGTTGAGCCAGTGGTGCTCAAGTGGATAATACTGGCCCGAGTTGGTAGTGGTGTTGTGTGGACGTATTGGTTACGCGAACAACGGTGGCGATGGTGGTGGTGAAGATCTCTCCCAAAGGTGGTGAATGGGAAGGGTAGAGGCACGTGCGTCGACGCGTACTTGCCTTTGACCACGACAGGTCAAGCAGGTCGGCCGTGTGTCCGCTGTATTTACAGAAAGGCTGTCTCCTGAAGGGCGCCGCACTGTCGCTCCTTTCAGCGTCGTCCGGAGAGCCGATCTGTGCCATGAGAAGCACTGCTCGTCAATAGGCACTGGAGTTGGCTATGTACCGGATTGGCTGGTGGAGAATTAAGGTTATTGTCGGGCTAGTCGAGGATTCATCACTGATTTTTGGGGTTGGTCTCGTAATGATCTGAGCAGATCTGCATCATGAACCCTCCTCCACCCGACGCAGCCAAACAAATTCAACTGCCATGGAGAACAAGCGTTTCAACGTGCCAGTTATTATTGGTTCAGTTGATCGCTAGGTTCAGGAGCAATTCTGACAACCAAATACAGATTTAATCAATCAATTTTATTTTACGTGCCAATGTAGCCCTCAATCAAGGTAGGCATCAGTGCACATTACAATAGAACGAGAGCAGTACATGTGACATAGAGCAACAGGAATGAAAAAAGAAAACCATCACGCCCTCCGCGGCTAACACCGACCTAGGGGCTAGTCTACATAAACTGGATACTGGCATCGCTAGAACTGGCTCCGAGTTGATTTTCGTGCCAGCTTTCAATATTCTGCTTTGAGCTTGCGTCTAATGATTCATAAAGTCCAAATCTTACACGGGTCGCGTGCGACCTAGTCACACCGCGCACGCCAGGCCGGGCTGAACGCGCGGCTGTGACGCGCGCCAGGTTGCGAGGCTGTGCCACATGGAGGGCAGCGGAGGGCAGTTGCAGAAAGATCCACTTGTGTACTGCGATTGCGAACTCCCCACACCTACGTTGCACGTCTCCGCCAACGCACACCGACCGGCGTGACGCGCGCAAACAAATAACCCCTCTGTGACCCACGCATTGTAGGGAGGCCGTCATCCAGCAACAGAAAGCCATGAGGGCTGTAGATGCATAAATCGATTGCAGAACAGTGTGTTCTCCTATAACGCGGTAGGTGGGTTCCAGAAGAACACCGCGTGAGGGAAAAAACCCGCGTTATAATAAATAATAGGGTAAAGCGCAGTCCGCGAAAACACGTAAGACGTGTCTGCAGGCTGAGCAAAGACTGAAGTGCGTGGGTAGCATCTGGAAGTATCCAGCAGCATCCCAATGCCTTGTGTGATGCAACGGCGAGGCAGCCGCAGGACCACTTATTGCTACCCGCGTGACGTAGTTCCGTTCACTCAAATCGCGTTAAATATTAAATTCACATCCGCGTTATAAAAAAATAATGTTTTCTCTCATACATTCATCGCGTTATATCCAATCCGCGTTGCAGAACTGGCTGGACTTGCGATGTGTTCGAGGAACAAGATACTTAAGTGCAATAGTCAAGCACCGGGTGAGGTTTTTATGCTGCAACATGCTGTGCACGTGTTGTTTTTGTTGCTGCCACTGCTATGGGTCAGTTTGTCCATGTGCTTAACTCATAGTTGGACGGTTCAGAGTTCACATCCTAGTCTGGAGATGACTCAAACCATCGTTATCAATTATCCTTTGCTGCAGAGAGTAGCCTCGACACGGGAATGTGGAAATTCCACAAGGCTCCACGTCTCACAGAAATAGGGGCTTATTATTTGAGGGCAGATTTATCGGACATACGCCGCTCAAAGACGGTAGGGAACGTGCACCTAGCCTGGCACAAGCCATGCGGTTGTAGCTGCGCTTGCCGTATACCTCTGTCTCTGACTTGATGGAGCTCAGGCTGTCCTGGGAAGGAGAGGGAGACACCCGGCCTGGAGAGACAAAGGTGGACGTCAAAGACCCAAAGAGTCTGCGTGTGAACGTGACAACGCAACACCTCCGGTACAAAGTCAGTCTCTTGAGCATTCTCGACGATCGTGTGAAGCTACGATAATAAAAATCACTATCGAGCAGATGAGTATGGAGGAGTCCACACTGAGCAACTAGAAGTGAAGTTGTCTTGATTCTCGTGGCCAGCCCAAACAACACCACAGGTGTCCCCAGAAAACTAGGCGAAGGAAGTCACCGCTTGTAACTCTTGATTGAAGAATAAGACAACAGGAGAGAATCACTGCCTCTGTAAAAATTAACGGCTTCCAGAGAATTCTTGACATTTTCTTATGAAGGAGCAACAAAGAAACAAGAAGTCTCCTTGACATGGCAGCCTTGACAACAAGTCAAGGCTGCCACGTCAAGTGAGGTGAGGGAAGCTGCAATATCTCAGAGGTGTGACAACGGTGAACGGCACCGGCTGCAGAGGATGGCGATGGAGGGAACATTGGAAGGTGTTCAGGAGAAGGCAACGATCAAACAGTGGGCGGGGATGGAAGTTCTCTCAGTTGAAAGGCGCGGCGACGAACAGGGGAGTGGAGAGGCACTGCAAAGAGACGAGTTTGGTGAAGGAAACGGTCATCACCAACAGCCCAAAAGGTCTTGGAGGGACTAGAAGTGACCACAGTTCAACGTGTAGGTTTCCAATGTGTGTATGTTGGACTGCTTTCGCACCGTACGTAGCCAACCGTGATAATCGGAGGTACGGGGAAATGACGCACGAGTGTGGGTGCGCGAGTGTGCGCGTTTCTGCGCACCCTCCGTGTTGTACTTCTGCCGCATGTTGCTGAAGAACTCGTGCGCCTGCTTGAGCACCCAGATGCGAACCACGTTGTCCTGCCCGGCCGTCGCGAGCAGCCGCCCACAGTGCGAGAACTTCATGGTCCACACGGCGCCCTGGGCAGTGCGGAGGAACGCGGGGCACGGCAGAGATTGGCTCAACGACGCCGAGGAGGCCAGCACATAGTTACTCATCTTCACAACGCAGGGTTATCAGAACAGCTCAGGGCGTCACAGAACGGCTCACCTTGTGCTCCTGGCTCAGGTCCTGCACCATGACGATCTGGTCGAAGTCGTAGGGCCCCTTGTAGCCGTGTGCGGCGCGGAACTTAACGGGCCTCGTGTATGGCATCCCCTCCTCCTCGTCGCTCGACTGATCCTCCTGCTCCCCGTGCAGCACTGGCCAGGGACGAGAGGCACGGGGAGCGTGCCGCCGCGGACACGCGTGTGAGCCTACGTGTATATGTACGCTGGGGGAAGTGATCAAGGCCAACGCCAGTGACGATTACCTGAACCGGTTCTGGGCCTCCCATACGTCGACTCCGCCTCAAATGAGTACAAGGTGCGGTGAGTAACCATCGCCACTGGGGAGACAAAGGCGTCCCGGGCGTGGTGCTGGCCACCCATCCCCTCGTGTCCCGTGCCGGCCTTCGTAGGTGCTACTCGCTAACAGCACTTTCCCCAACAGTCTGTTAAAAGGCTATACGGGGGATCTTTGTCTGTGTGCGTGCGCCCTCACTCTCGCGAGGCTGTACCTTCGTCCCGCACGCTGCGCACTTTGCTGACGGCCCGCTCGCCGTACTCCTCGGCCAACACCTTGGCCTTCTTCATCGATTTCCCGAGGAACCGCTTCAGCTGAACTCTGTGAAGGAGCACGAGTCGGCAAGGCTTGGCAGGGCAGGTAACTTTTGACTTACTTTAACAATTAAAATAATAATCGCATTGTTTTATTTTTCTCAAGATTTACATTCTATTTTTCACTTTTGATGAAAATCCAAATTTCCATAAAACGCCACTAAAGTGAACGGTGAGAACCCGAACTGCTACCGCGTATATTTTCGCCGGTTGTGCCGTAACAGCTTAATGACGTTTCGGACATCGTTCCAGTTCCTGAAGCAGCTCCCAGCACGTGAAGCGAAACGTCGGTCGTCACGCCGAGCGGCGCGCGGCACGACCGGAACGTGCGCTCCGGAGAGCGATAACAAAAGGACTGGCTCTCGCGGTGGCTATGAGATGTTAACTACCTCGCCTGGTATACAGGAGGTTGTGAGTTCGATCCAGACCCTGACGCCTTTATGTTGGAGTTTTCATGTCTCTCTCCCCGTAGTTATGTGGATTTTTCTCCGAGTCCTCCAGTTTTTCCCTCCACATCGTCAAAACATATACGTTTAGAGTATTTGGCTGCTATACATTTCCACACGACAAGCCACTTCGTTGCGCTATCCATTTGTGGCCAGATCACTTCTGAAAAAGAGCCATTAAGCTCAGTTGGCCTTACCTGATAAAATAAACTAAAACTATTTCAGTTTTTACGGAGATTAACAGGCAACTCACGTTTTCTGCTTGAGTTTTTTGCCGTCCTGTTCCACTCCTTGAGGTTGGCACTTCTCCTCGTCGTCCGAGCCCGCTGCACCTATGCTGCTGCACAGGACACCGTTGCAGGCCGTCAAGGTGTGCACGTCGTCCCAGCGTGTTGGTGTGTGACAATGCAGTGATGTTGTCAACAATATTGTTTCTTGCTTGTTTGCCAACCAAGGTTAATTTGACCGGTTACGCATAATTATCTGTCTGTCCCTCCCTGCCGTCTGTCCGCCGGTCTGTAACGGTGCTCGAATACCAACAAAACTTTAGTATAAAGTTGCACTGCTGTTAGGCACTCGGCTCTGCAGAAAAAAGACGAGTAATCGATCAACAGGTTGCCCAAAACTTGGGAAGAAAAAAAAAACGGCGCTTAAAGAACCCTGCTCAGCCCGATCTCTCAAATCCCCACCAGGCACCCCGCCCACCTGATGAACTCCTTAGTGCGCCGCATGATGTGCAAAGCCAAGGGGTTGTGGCCTTTTGGGAGTTTCTCTTCGGCCTGGTTCAGCGGAATCTCCTCTCCCGTGTCCAGGTTCTTGACGATCACCATCGCAAGGATTTCCTGCCGGGGCAACAGAGGAAAACGTAAAAAAACGGCGGCGACAGCAGCGGCTTGCTCCCAATCACGTCACTGTCGTTGTACATGCTAGAGACCTGTCGTCGATCAACTGCTGGGAGAGGGGTCTGTCCACTTGGTCAGTCTGGGTTGGTGATTCCTGCGATTACTGCACATGCGTAGAATTGTGAGTGCAACAAGTATGACTATTATATCATGATGTACATTTAAACTAATGTACATGAGACAATTGATAAACTTGATGCGGGCAACACAGCTGAGATGGTATGAAAGGGTGCAGCGACACAAGAGACCCACAACGCATAAGACACGCATGCTACGAATACAAAAAGACAGGAATGAATTATTGAAATAAATCACACGCCCAGATCGTGACAATGTATTGAAACTCGAGGCTTCACATGTCATTATATGACCATTATCAAACTCACACGACCCCACAAAACGACAAAGGTCCCCCCCGTACAACCACATAGACTGTTGAAGCAAGTGTGGTTATAGAGTGAGTGGTATGACCAGAACCACGCCCACCCACTTGTTTCCCCAACACTGCTGTTTGCACATGACACCAGGTCCTCAATTGAGGCTGAGTTAACCTAAGAGAAGTTCAGAACAGGTTTAGAAATTCGCCACTGTTAGTCATGGCGAGGAATCGAATTCAGGTTGCCAGGTTGGTACTAACCACAAATCTTTCATATTCTTAGGTTTTTTCGGTAAAGTCACGTAGGTAAAACATCAAAATTAATAAAAAAATAAAATAAAGATCACGACGTTTCGGAGGCAACACAAGTCTCTGTCATCAGGTGGGACCGTCACAGCCAAATCCCACCTGATGACGGAGACTTGTGTTGCCTCCGAAACGTCATGATCTTTATTTTATTTTATTTTTATTAATTTTGATGTTTTACCTACGTGACTTTACCGAAAAAACCTAAGAATATGAATCCTTGCAGTCACGAAAGCTTCAAATCTAGACAAATCTTTCCTCTCCACCCACAGAGATACATTCTCTCACACAGAAGAAAGACTTCCCCCGTAGAGCCATAAGACTTTTGGGGCAAGTGCTGTTAATGGCACACAACAAAGAAGTAGGTGGCCAGCACCACGCCCAACCGCCTTTGTCTTCCCAGTGGCGATGTTTACACACCGCACCAGATACTCATTTGAGGCGGAGTCAACCGAGGGGACCGGTTCAGATAATCATCACTGGTGTTGGACGTGACCAGGAATTGAACTCTGGTCGCTAGGTTTGTAGCACAGCACGCTAACCGCTACACTACCGCTCCCCACTATGCCCTCAAGTGACAAAAAAAATACAAAGATCCACAGTAAAGCCTTAACACTGTTTGGGCAATTGCTGTTAGCGAGCATGATGCCCTCACACACACACACTCACACAAACTGTGTAAACCTGTGCACAAGATCTCACCTCGTCGGTGAGATCCCGTCCAGAATTGGAGCGTGGGCGATCAGCTTTAGCTGCTGGTCGACTGTCAGCTCCACCAGCATCCTTCTCCTGACAGGGAGAAAACCTCATCAACGCCAGTTCTCCAATCACTGTACTGGCTTCCGATATCGAACTAATTACATTTTGACTTCCTGTATTTTCCTGAAGATGCTTTCTTGTGAGTTCAATCGTGCGGGTATAATCCCAATTAGCTCCACGCACTCTACATCCACCGCATGACAAGAGCCAAAGAAATCAAGTTGTCACCTGGACAAATGCGCCCGTCAATTTTCTTCTTCACCAAACCGGTTACGTCGAAAACCATGACAAAACAGTCAACGATTCTACGCGACGTTTTTTTTGGCTGGCCATCACACCCGGCGTCGCCGGGAGTTCAAAGAAACCCTCAGCCCTCGTCTCGTGACTGCGCTTCCCCCCCCATCTGGGCCATTCTCCCACACGCCCTGCTGTGGTGGGGGGGTTTCGTCACACGGCAACAAACAGGCAATCGCTCGCTGCATTTGATGTTTTTTTTCTCAACCGGTTTGATCGGTGTCCGGCTCAATGCTCCGACCCCGCGAGCCATCTGGCCACGTCGCGACCACCGCACCCCCCCCCCCCCCCACACACGAGGGTTTTCACCTGTGCCTCGATGACCTTTTCCCCTGCCGTGAGACTGGCGAGATCCAGGGACTGGAGCTCCTTGGCAAGATTCTCCACGGCTGTGTTGGGGCTCACCAGACCGCTTGGAGACACGGGCTCTTGTGGGACTGCAACCACGCATGAAGCGGACAACTGCAATCACGGTGGGGTTACACGGTACGGCTAGACGACAATATTTACTGTGCGACGTAAGCGGACCAGAGGTCCATGAAATTACAATTAAAGCAGCATTGGTGGATGAAATTACAATTATACTGTGATTGCAATTTATTATGACAACAGTTACAATTGAAACTGAGCCCATGTCTGGAAGTAAAGGTCAACGATAATCTGATTTGTAAAATATGACAATATCATGATAATCCTTTCTAAAGTTTCAATTCTAAAATATTAAACTTTTATGACAAAATATTTACGAAATAAACATATAACGAATAAATCCATTGTCAAACTGTAATTCTACGCTCCCTGGGTGGCATGGTGAGGTATGGCCAAACAGTCCTCGCCAAAATAAGTCAGAATGTCAAGGCGGTGAGAGATCACCAAGATTATAAATGCGCTTAGTAACGGAGACCTGTGTAACAGTACAATATCAAAGCAAAAAGGCTTTGATATTGTATTGAATCATTACATAAACACACGACAAACACAAAAATGCAAAGACTAACATCACCCATATAGCCTTAACAGACTGTTGGGGCAGGGGTGCTATCAGTGAGCAGCTATGAAGGCCGGCACGGCACACGAGGGGGTGGATGGCCAGCACCACGCCCAGCCGCCTGTCTCTCCAATGATTTTACACACCACACCAGGTACTCATTTGAGGCTGAGCCGACCCAGGGGAAGCCCAAGACTGGTTCATATAATCATCACGAGTGTTGGCCGCGAGCAAGAATCAAACTCGGGTTGCTGGGCACGTAGCGCAGCGCGCTAACTACTACACTACTTCTCCTTGCACGGGGACACACACAAACTCGGTACTCACCTTCCAGCAGAGTTGGCCTCTTCACCTCCTCCAGCGACGGCTGCCCCTCTACCTTCTTAGGTCTCTGTGGAGGGGGTGGCCGTGGAGGCGGCATTAGCTGCTGCTGCTGCTGCTGCTGGGGCTGCTGCTGCTGTGGCTGCTGTTGCTGTGGCTGCGCATGAACCGCCGGCACGCGGGGGGGCGGCACTTGTGGCCGTGGCGGCGGTGGCTTCTTGTGGCTCGCCACGATGTCGGGCTCCTGCGAGGCTCTCGCCGAGCGATCGGTGGCAGCGGCGGTTGTACTCGAATCCGCTGGTTCTACGGGTTCCTTTCCGGCCGGCGGATCGGCTCCCGGCTTGGCTCCGCTGCTCCCCCTTTCGCTTCCTCCTTCCGCCGACGCCTCCACGTCGTTTTGCTCGCCCTGTGCTCCTGCTTTGTCGCCATCGTACTCAGATTTTTTGTCGGCGGCCTCCAGGGCGTGCGCCACCACCTCCGGCATCGCCGCACTGCCCACGACAAGGGGGCGGCAGTTTTCTTCTGGGGAGACGATTGATCCTTCGGCGGCTGTCACCGCCACGCTTGTGCCATCGGAGTTACCTTGCTCCCCCCCCTGCTTCTTCTGATCCTCTCTTTCTACCTCCACCGGTGGTGATAGCAGCGGCAACGGTGATAGCGGTTCAAGTTTTGCTGCAATGACCGAAGGTGGAGGAGCGGCGGTGTTACTGCCATCTCGCAAGGCGAGTTCATTGATCAAGCGGTGATCAGTTGCTTGGGGCGGCCGGGGCGGCTCCTCTGGCTTGCGCTGTGTGCTGTGGCTCTGCAAGTCATCCTTCTGATGAAACAGAATGATTATAGTAGGGGGGGGGAGGGGGTCGGTGGAGAGAGGGGGAGGGAACCGTTGAGTACCGTAGCAAGAAAGTTGACTCCAATGACTATTTTCCACTGTACAGCCATGCCACACGGGGATTCAGGAGGAGCCCGAGTTGTTTTTTTCCACTGCAGAAGCCGAGCAGTGCCGTTGACTTCACAAGTAACGAACGAGTCATTACGCTGAACAGCGGCCCTGCCTAGCCCCAAGCCAGATGCAGATGTGCGAGGCCGATGTGTCACCATCTTGGTTCAGGCTCGACATGGCAAGCAGCCAGTAGAAAAAAAACAAAAAACACCCACACTTGTGCAGGCCCTAAGCTGGCACAGCTCAGGCTGAAACGCTTCTTTGAATCCAGTGAAGTTTAATCAAATTTACAATTTCCGTGACATGTATAAAGCATTAGAGGCAGTAACAGCAGTGCTGACAGGCAATAGGAAAAAAACTAAACTATGTTTTTTAATCAGGTAAGGGCCACTGAGCTATACAGCTCTTTTTCAGAAGTGACCTGGCCACAAATGACAGCTCAACGAAGTGGCTTATCGTATGGAAATGTAAATTAAACACTCTAAACACGTGATGTTGATTCTAAATTTGGAGGGGAAACTGGAGGGCCCAGAGAAAAATCCACGCGACCACGGAGAAAATACGCAAACTCCAAATATACAGCAGCAGGCGTCAGGGTCGGGATCGCACCCACGACCTCCTGTAGACCCGGCGAGGTGGTTAACATCTCGATACCGTGCCACCCAATGATCTCTGAAGCGAAGCAGAGGCAACCCTTGTTAGCATTTGGATGGGAAATACCAGATGTAGGCTTGAGCTACAGGTGGCCAGTAAATGGCAGTACAGTAATGGACCGAATCCATCTGTGCAGAGCTTTGAGTGTCATCCCTTCGTATGCATGGCTGGTGTTCTCTGGGTACTCCATTTACTCCAACATGAAGAGGCTTGAGACATAATCAGGTATTCCTGGGTACATAAATGACTTGACCATTAAATTGTACAAATGTAAATATAATTTCCCTTAACTCAGCTGGCCTGTGCTCTTTATCCTAATTAATCCAGGCAACCGCCCAACACACACAGTATCGATTATAAACAAAGCAAAATCTTTTGGGTGAAGCTCCTCAACAAAGATCCCCCAAGATTCGAACATTGCTTCTCCACGAACCCTCGGTGTAAACTCTCACCTCTGCATCTGCAAGAGCAGCAGCACACGCTGTTCCACCACCACCAGAATCTTTTCCGACAGCTTCATCCTGTGTGAACATCCAATGTTAGCAGAGAGCTCTACCACGGCAGATAGATCCGGAGTGGGGGACCACTCTTTCATTAACGAGGCCCGAAGAGGACCTTCAAACACCTTGAGCGGGCAACCATGCATTGACACACACACACACAATCACACGCCAGCCGGCTCGTGTCACTGTAAGGGGCCCGTTGCGGTGGCCGACGTGACAAGAGCATGGAACGAAAATACAAATTTTCGATTTAAAGCTTTCGTGACTGCAGGGATTCATCTTCTTGTTTCGCTCCAATGAGCCATTGGAGCGCTGTCTTTCAGACAGCTCTGTCTTCACCTGAGGACGGCTGCTTGTGTTGTGGCCGAAACGTCGTTAGAATTTTATCTTATTATGTAAATGTTTTATTAATTTATTATTTCCCTTCTACGTGACTTTACCGAAAGAACCAAGAAGATGAAAATAAAAAATGCAAAGTTGCAAAGTCAAAAATATTCCCCACCGCCCCCCCCAGTACCCGATTAGTGCGGCCAAGATGCTGGCAGTGCCAGTTAAGTATTGTTTGCGGTTGGGTTGAAGTGGTAGCCATTGTGTGGCCATGGGCCAAACGATATCAAGCGACGGCCATGTCTGGGTTTGTGAACCATTGGTTCCCCGACCCCTGGGTGAGACAATAGCCAGTGAACAAATGCACTGGCGACCTGGGTTCAATTCCCAGCCATGCTCGTGAGCAGTGGCCGGTGGTATTCTGAACCTAGTTTTGGGACTCTCCTCCTAGGGCAACTCAGCCTAAAATGAGCAGATGGTGTAGTATGTAAACATGAGCACGAGGGTGACCAAGGTGGCCGAGTGTGATTCTGGCCACACCAGCCACTTGTGCGCTAATGCAGTGCCTCAATCAGCGACTGAACGATGCATCGATTAAAACCAAATTTTATAAAAACACATTTTCTACTATGTTATATGTTATGTACTAATTCATTATTTTGGCCACTGTGTATGTTGGACGTAATTGGTTTATGTAAAGCCTGCAGCCAACAGTCAATGTTCACAGTAAAGACAAAAAATAAAACGCTTTTTTTTCATTAACCTAAATGTACATTAGCATTTGCATATATTTCCTGTAAATCGCTAATAACCAATTTTTTTCCCCAAGCGTGATTCGAAGCACAAACCATAGGAGACTTGATTTTAACACGGGACCTTGGGATTGCCAGTTGAGTCATCAGACCACGTTCACCACTGAAATCACCAAGTTGAAGGTTCTGGTGATGATGATGGTAGGAGTCGATGTGATGTGGGGTGCGGTCGTGTTGTGGTTAGCGTGCTGCATCACGAACTCAGCGACCTGAGTTTGAATGATCACTCATGGCCAACACCAGTGACTATTATCTGAACCAGTCCTGGCCTCCCCTAGGTCCACTCAGCCTCAAATGGGTACCTGGTGCAGTGTGTAAATATCACCACTAGAGAGACAAAGGCGGCTGGGCATGGTGCTGGTCACCCACCCCCTTGTGTGCCATGCCGGCCTTCATAGGTGCTCGCTAACCGCTCTTGCTCTTACAGTCTGTTAAGGTTATATGGAGATCTTTGCCTTTGATTGTGGTAGAGATGGTGGTGGTGACCTTGGTCGTCATGATGGTGCTAGTGGTGGTGTTGAAAGTGGTAGTAGTAGTGATAGGAGTGGAGGTGGCAATGACGGTGATAGTGGTGGTGGTGCGCTGGTGATAGTGTATGTGGTGGTAGTCGAGGTGAGTGGTGGTAGAAGTGGTGGTGGCAATGGTGGTGGTGTTGTGGTTTTGGGTTTGTGGCGGTGGTGGTATTCGAGGCGGTGGCAATGGTGGCGATGGTGGGGTTTCGATTTAAAGCTTTCGTTACTGCAGGGATTCATCTTCTTGGTTCTTTTGGTAAAGTCACGTAGAAGGGAAGCAATAAAATAATAAAAATAAAACATAATATAATAATTCTCACGACGTTTCGGCCACAACGCAAGCAGCCGTCCTCAGGTGAAGAACATGTCTGTCGATAAGACAGAGTCTAAATGACACGTCTTAGGCTTGGAGTGTCTATTTAAGCTGTGTTTTATTTTTATTATTTTATTACTTCCCTTCTACGTGACTTTACCGAAAGAACCAAGAAGATGGTGGGGTTGTGGTGGGTAGTAGAGGTGGTGCTGGTGGCTGTGTTATTGGGGTGGCGGGTTCAGAGGGAACATGCGAATGTGACAGCGAATTAAACAAAAATTAAAATCAAACGAGCGGTGCGCCGGTCGATAATTTTTTTTTTTATTCGCGTGGTCGTAAGCAAGGTGCCACTTACAGACACTGCTGGGTTCTTGATCAGCTTCTTTGAAGACGAACGCCTGAAGGAGAAACAAAATGGGAAGAAAAAAAAATCAGTCACTCTCATGCCTATGGGGTAGCGCCTCCCACTCGCCCCCCTCCTCCCTCCTCCACCAACACGACGGCAGTGTACATTCCACCTCCCGAAATTAAACCGCTTTCCTCCCACACCAAAACATATTCTGAGGAATTGGCCAAACGTTTTAAATCAGGCCCGTCATGACAAATCCAGGTTTCCCTGGATAAACCGGCGTTTTTCGGTGGCAATGGTCTCTGCTGGGTGGCCCCCCTTGAGCCAGTCGTAGAAATTCCACATTCCCTTGCTAGGAGCAGTCATTTCACTACAGTAATTTTGCTGTAGCAGTTCCACCTGATGACGGAGGCTTGTGTTGCTTCCGAAACGTCGTGATTTAATTTAGTTGTTTTCATTTTCATTTCATGTTCACCTACGTGACTTTACCGAAAAAACCAAAGAGTATAGGAGCAGTCACCCCCATTCAAGAACCACTGCTGAATTATACGCCAAGCACTGCTCTCTATGGGAAAACCACACCGGAATGCGCCCCATCATCTCGTCAAGTCTTGGGAGTGAAGCAGCGTTGGAGCCTGGATAGTGCCTGGATGGGTGACGACCACCACCACGCACAGACAGGGTTTCACAGGAGGCCGTGGTGGGCCCGCATGGTGGGTAGCACACGGCAGCCCACTAAAATCCATTTCTGTACTGTGCACTGGCACATCAATGATCCCCGTCAAGAGCAACCAACGTGGTGAAATAACCCGCATGGCCTGCATGGCATAGGGAGGGCCCTGAACAAGCAGTGTATTGACAAACAAACAAAGGCAGGTACTTGCCGTGCTAATTGAATTGAGTGCTTTGAAAAGTTTAATTGAACCCTATAGAATAATCAGGACAATTAATTTTGATGACTTGTCAGATTCCCACGGAATAGTGCCAATTTTGTAGACCACCTCATGGCGGATGACGAGCTCGCATTGAGCCTTCTACGGCTAATAGCACATAATTATTAGCTGCGTAAAAACGCATGGATTTATCAATTAAAATAAACTCTCGCTCTCATGATTACGTGCGGCAAATTACGTGCAGGAATAAATGATTAACAATTCACGCATATTATACGCCAATAACCTGATGTGCTGTTACATAACTCTACAAAGGAGAAAATAATTACATAGTGTACATTACGAGATGCTAAACCCAGCAAATTGATTCTTGAATCGAATCATGAACTCAAATTTGTTTAACAAAAAAAAGCCATAATCAGATGGCTGCCGAGGTGGAATTGTTGTAGGCGTGGATCAGAGTGTGTCCACGAGACACCAGGCTTTGTGAGGAGTGGGGCGCCCCTGACGTATCGCTCGAGTTCACAAAGCCTCGTGAATTTCGTGACGACCAAATCTGGCCCATTTTATAAGTGCTGTCGTTTCTATAGATTTTATCAAATAGAAATTTGAACAAATAAAAAGAGCGAAATAAGTGAAAGCTGAGGAAAAAACATGCAACCACCAAAATCCACAAGGCAATGTTGTTAGAATGCCACAGCAGTTACTTACCCGTGTATCGATAGTTCAATTTTAATGTGCAATTTTATTGAGGGGACTGTGTGTTGTCTTGGTGCGGTCTGCGACTGTTTTTGCTGTTGTTTTGCTGCCTTCCCGGAGCTTCCGAATGAATGTATTCTGACCCACGCCTGTAACCATTTTAAATTATATACTTTATTTATTTTAAGTTATTTGTTTACGTTTCTTATACTCTGCACTCCGATCGTTTTTGGTGTTGTTTGTTATTGTAGCTTTCTGACCCGGCTCTACTGGACATCTGTAAAAAAAAATTGCTTCATCACTCATCAGAATTCTCCAGGATAAATAAAGATTTTGATTCTGACTGCACAGTACAGTTTCTGAACTGGGACTTGCATTGGCACGTGACGTTTCTGCGCAGCGTGACAACGCAGCTGGAACCACGTCATCATTGCTCTGTGGTGATGTTTACCCGATTCTGGCTTTCGGATCGCGGTTTTACATTTCTTGGAATTTTCTTTACATTTTCAGTGTGGCTGCACTTGTTTAACAACTACCACACTGATTGTAACAACTACCGGGCATCTTTGGCCTCGGTGTGCAAGCAGGCCAGGGCGGTCCTGCAAGGATGGCATTGCCTTTGGCAGGCTGCTACAATAGGGGCGTACAACATTTCAACAGGACCTACATCCCCCACATTATTGATCTGGTTAAGGCTTCGCACAACCCTCAAAAGGGCTGTTATTTTGGTTGTTCATTATTTTTTGTAAATTTATGGACTTTGATACGGGGTATGCAATGCTCTGCGAGTAATCAAAACGGGTACTTAATTTCATGACAATCGGGATGACATTGGGACAGCCGTAATTAATCTGTTGGGTGGACTACTCCGATCATCACCTTTATTGGGGTCACTAAAAATGCACACACCTTTGTGAGTCAGTCAACAGAGATGGGACCGGGACCACGGCCATGCCATGAGAATGTGGAATTTCCATCGCTGGCTCAGGGTGACACCAGACAAGAACGAAAGCGTGCAAAATCGAGCACGGGGCTCACATCCGCGCGAACACCTTGACTTCACTTTACTGACAAACGCCGTTTTCATCCTGAACGCGCGAGATTGCTTTTGCCCGGCGAGGCGGCGCGCGGCCGTCCTTCGCTCGTTCTCCAGCCTCACACTGCGAATAAACAAATTAAATCAATAGCTCCAGCGCAGAAAGGTAGCGCGCACGCACGCGCAACGCCGCCGCCAACAATGTCTGTTGTCGGCGGCTGGCTCTTTGTAGTAGGCAGGTGGCGTGTGGCGCAGTAAATCTCGCGAGTGGTTTTTACCGAGGCGCCACGCTGGGTGAGCATCGTTCCTCGGGGTACCGTTCAACGTGCATAACCAAAGATAAGGAAATCTGCTTTAAATGTGATTACAGACGCGTGCGCCAGACGACAACAGGGCGACGCCGCGTTCTTGTGCGAGCAGCGCCGCCGCTTCTCTCCCGAGGACGCTAAAGCGCCTTGGCGGTTGAGCCTCGGGGGACCCACCGTCACTGTCTGGCTGAGCAAATCGAAAGACATTTCGGTCCGAGTAGACATAGGCCCAATGCCATTTTCATGGTGGCGGGCGGGCGGGCGGGCGTGCGAAAGGGGGAACAGCGCAAGCGGCAGGTAATAAGGGGCCGGGCCGGGCGAGGCTGGCCGGGCTGGCACATTTCGAGAGCCTCCACACCGTGAGGTGGCCGGGCGGCTCAGAGACCGCGACAACGCTGAGGTGGCACCCGCCGAGATCCTGGATTGGAATCCAAGTTTCAGTGGCTTCTGATTAAACCGGGTTTTCAAGTATGGTGATTTGATGATCTCAGCCTGTTCACGATTGAATACACAATACAACAAAAACTCCATCCCATTACATTTGGTTGCACCTTCATTTGGCACAATTCCAGCTCGGAGAATTAAAAACACTGGTTGGGACACCCCGAGATGAACATTGCTCTCAGCGGCATGGTGGGTGGGGAAAGTGCTGCTTTCAACTGTGTGCACCAAATGTGAAGTTAAAGGGATTTTAGTGGTAGCTATGAGATATCCGCTTCATGGTAGGTCATTCTACAACACAAAGGGTGCGCGCACTGCTCTGCAAGAGATCTGAATGGCTACTTCCGTCTTGTGACCATGTGACGCCGTTCATAAAATCGGGATCAAATTGGAGAAATAGTAAACATTTAAAGGAAGAGCCCTAAATTGTGTCAGGGGGACTTTGTGCACAGAAACGTGGGCCCGGGAACAAACGAGCGCGGTGCAAAAAAGGAGGGCACAGCACACATCTCGCATGCACATTGATTCCTGCATGCTTATCACGCTGTATAAATAGCAGTGCAACATTGCACCGATTGAAATATATATGTGTGTTCACACTCGCGATACGCGGAATGCACGGCGCATGTGAGAATTGATTGTTCCATTTGTGCACATGTAATTAGAGTTCAAGTTACCCTTGACAGGCACTAAAGCTGCTACAATCCACCACAATTTTTTTTTTATGTTGAATCATGACCTTGAATAACAAATCATAGAATATCAAGAGAAGCGGACTAGGATATTTATTTTTATATGTAAGAATGCCATTTTGAAAATGTTTCCCACTCCATTACCATACAGATCTGGGCAATGGAATTGGCAATATGCCTGGTAAGTTGACTCTACATTGGTTTTGAGGTTTTGTATTTCACGAAAAGACAAAAGGATGTACGTAATACATTTAAGTGTAATTATGGGACAATGATCATCTCCACTTTCATAGGTTGCTAGGAGATGGCAGTACAGCAATGGATTATTGAATCTACCTGCGCTGGGCTTTAGCATTACCCCCCTAATATGTGTGATGGGTTTCTTCCCAATACCCCCGCTTCCTCGAGCACAATGTGGTCCTCATTTCAGCTACCCCGAGGGCTCTTAAACGACGGAGGAGAGGAGTAGAACGGACGAGCGGGATGTGAACTCACAGCGTTGCATTGTAAGTCGAGTTCTCCAAGCGGCCACCGTGCTACCCAGCCGGATTCACAAGTACGCTCTCCAGCAGCAGCAGCAGCAGCAGGAGGGATACATCGGGTTTAAAGGCTGTGCGAGAGCAAGGGGAGGTGGCTAGGGTACGGCAGTAAAAAAAAACTCAATTGAGCATGACGGGCACAAAGGCGGGAGTAATTGCTTGCGCGTGAATTGGTAAAGCTTTGATGTTGGCTGGTATTAAATACGCCTTTGGACTTGAGTTACCCAGCCCTGGGGTTAACCTAATCGTGACTTTGATTAAGACACACAAACCTTCAAGGGCACCCATTGAGGCTGTGTAGTTAACGAGCATTGTTAGCGATGAGTGTGCTTAACAAAGGCGTCACTGTCTCTGTGGGCTCTTAACTGGTAAATTAAAGGCGGCAAACAATGGACACGTTTCGCTACCCGTCCAGCTGCGTTCTTGTCAAAAATGTACGTG